ATTCTGAAATGTGCGTGTTAACATTTTACATTGAGGTTATGTCTTTGACTGCTTGCTATAATTCCCCTTACCCTTCAGGGGATGACGCAGGGGCCTTGTTCCCTGCACATGCTAACGGTTGCATAACAGGGTGTTACGGCTCTGCACTGCCTCTCTCCGGACCCTGAGGGCAACGAGCGCAAAACATGCCTTCCTCCTCTATTTCTGTTCTCCGTCTTCTTCACTACCTCTTGCTCTCTCTAGTGCTCACATTTGCACAGAACAATAGCGGAGTAGGTAGTTTAAGGTGAGAGGGGGGGAAAAATTCCTCCTCTTCTCCTTTGTCCACTCTCCTTTCTCATCTCAAAGGGATTTTCTTGCACATTTTTCTCCCTCCCCTCTCAGTCTCTCCCCCTCTCTCTTTCCCCATAGTTCTTTCCCTCAGTGAAAATGGGTCACCTTTCTTTCTGTCAGGAGAATGCCTGGGTAAGTATAACCTCTATTTTCTGTGTGTGTGTATGTGTGCAAGGTTCTTACTGTCTAGGGGGGTTCCGAGCCCTGGAAAAGTCATATGCAAGGACCATTTTCTGGGGCTCATTAGGGGGAAGTTTGGGTTTTTGGGTTGGGGTTATAGGGTCAGAGTTAGGTCAAAATATGGATTGGGGCTACCTTTGACATTTCTGCAAGATAAAACTACACCACTCAAGACTTTTCGTGATAACAAAGACAAGGGAACTTCTGGTATTTTTAGTCATTTTACCTTTAGGAGAATAAACAATAAACTCTGGTATTACACTGTATATCAGGCAAGCAGGCTTCCCCCTAGATTTCTCTATTTACCCATTATATGATTTGAGGTGACTCTCTTCCTTGCTGCAACCAACGCAGCAACTAAGCTTTATGTGACTAAATGTGCAATGACATCACCAATATGCATATAAGCATATAGCATTATTTGCACAAAAGCCCTTCAAAAATGTTGAAATTAGTACACATTATAAATGAAATAAGTCTTGCTAAATATGTAACCTTACCAAAGAAGTTCTAATATGACTTTAAAAGAAAGTTTCCATATACATTCACCTCTTGTAGAATGACAGTTGAGATAGGGTCCAGCGTCCCCACAACCCCTAACAGGATAAGCAGTTACGGAAAATGAATGAATGAAAGAATGAAGTTTGATTCCTTTGAGTCACATGTGTCTGTGATGGAAGTGCCAAGAAAGAAAGACAAATGGTTCAGTAAGAACAATTTTGATGCAGGGAAACGGTGCATCTAATTTTAAAAGTTAGATGCACCAGCAGTGGTTCATGTTGGATTCCTTTGGGTTGGATCTGGCTGTCGTGGAAGTGCCAAGTGTTTTCTGCATGTACACAGAAGTATTTCAAGCCCTGCTCATAGAAGTACCAAAACTTACATAAATCACACGAGCCAACAAGAAGTCAGTTCAAGCTACACTGACCAACTACTGTGAGTCATGTTATGTGATTTTTGGTTTGTGGTTGGCAAAGTGAGAGGCTGCTAGAATCAAGGACAGACATTAAGTAATGTGCATGTTTCAACAGATTGTTCCCATACTGTATATGTGGCAGCAGCCTCTGTGTATATCAGCGTATGTGTGTTCTTTCCAGGCTGAGTTTCCATTGTTCCTCCTGATAGAAACCCTGTATCTCCTCTCCTCGTCTGTGGCAGTATGCATGCAGGCAGCGTTAGATGGACTTTGAAGTGAGCGCACCGATGCACTTCAAACAAGATCTCACACACTTTGCCTGTGTGCCAAGAGGAAGGCTGAAAAAGGCTGAAAAAAAGAGCTTTTCTCTGCATCCTGATAGAGTGCACTCTGATCCACCCTCTGTCTCCTCGCCTATTCTTCCATCTACCTCTCAAATCTGTGCCTCAGCTGCGCCGCTTCTCTCCGCACATCAATGCAAAACAACTCTCTGGAAGAGCTGCATGAGCTGCTTCACAAGTTGCAGCGTACAAGTGCTGCTGTGACGGAGAGTAGGAAACTGTTTCATGCACAGATGCATGCAGACATAAGCCACTGTTTCAGATGTCACCACCTCGGTTTGTCACTGTGTGAGTAAAAAGGAACCATATTGGGGTGAAAAGATTTTGTCTCAGATGGTCTCAGATGACAGCACTGTGTCATGTGATGCTGTGTCTGTATTAATCATAGTGTACTTATGACTGTGGACTGCTCATCAGGTGACTTAATTGCTAACATTATACCACAATAATAGGACATATCCCTAAATAAAAACGGCATGTTAAAATTGATGAGATATGATAGCAATTTTCACACAGTATTTCAATAATACAAAATACGACAATTAAAAAACTAATTTTGAACATCTTCAGTTTAAAAACAACATGGCTTTGGAGACAGTAGATGGGCCAAAAAAAAACAAGAAAAGGAAATGGACAGTTAAATAAGACTGAAAGGGAGAGTTCATCCCAAAATCAAAAATACCTATTTTTCCTCTTACTTGTAGTGCTATTCATCAGTCTCGATCGTGTTGGTGTGAGTCGCAGATTGTTGGGAGATATCAGCTGTAGAGATGCCTGCCTTCTCTCCAATATAATGGAACTAGATGGCACTCAGCTTGTGGTGCTCAAAGCACCAAAAAACTACATTTGAAAAACTCAACAGCAATGTCTCTTTCCAGAAATCATGACCCAATTACTAAAGATAATCCACAGATCTTGTTGTGAACAGTTTCATGTAGGAACTATTTTCTTTCTGCTGAACTACATCAACTCTATCGCTGCGCAGATGGAAGTGTGCATTTATTCATGGACAAGACGCTTGTGCGCTTGACAGCATGAGATGTAAACATTAGTGGCGTCCACCTCGGCTGGGCTGTAATTATTAGCTAGCTCAGTGCTGCTAGGTGAGCTAGCACTAGATGTACATTTCCTTCCACGCAGTAATTCGGTTGGCGGGTGTAGTTCAGTAGAAAGAAAATGGTTCCTTCTGAAACTGCTCACAACAAAGTCTTTGGGCTCTAGTTTCCCGGCGCAGCACAGGGTGGCGAACCCCACGCAGAACTAGTTTCGAGCAGCGCAACCCAAGGTGCGCTCAGTTTGGTAGTTTGGCATACCGAGGTGCGCTGAGATGGGTGTGGCGGCACAGTAGGGGGAGGTGTCGACAGATCCAGCTTGGCGCAGTGACAGTTTCGTGCCAAAAGGCTTCGCCGAAGGTGCGCTAAAAGCTTGCCAGCTGAAACCAGGTCTACTGTCAGCGCAGGCGGAGCGCAGCCGGTGTAAGCCGAATTTTGGCTGACCGGAGGACAGTGCGCACACGTCACCAAAACCTCACAGGCAGGTTTCCAGAATATCAGGCACATTAACGATGCAATAAATACCCCAAAAAAACACTATTCAATGCAACTATCTGCAATCAGCACATAAATGTATCTCTATATCGACTGTCCCGTCACATCTGATGTCAGATCAAAGGGGATTGGCACCGTTTGGCACGTTTGGCACGCATAATGGAAACCCAACCTGATTTGATTAACACAGCTGCAAACTAATGGGTTCACATCCCTCTCAGCCAACCACAAACAGCCACAGCATCAGATAGGGAGTATATATTCAGCATCTGTCATCTTAGAAAAGTCAAAAGAAAAGAAACAGAGTGAGACTGCCAGAGAGAAAGAGAGAGAGCGCACGCGCATGAGAGAAACGCAACATTGATTTACAATTGTGGTGACCTCCTCCCAGGCCACCTTTGCATCATCAGCCCATGGAGGTCTGCTCGCAGTTCCGTATATTCGGACACTGCGAATTTGGACCTCCCGGACCAAAACATCAGTTTCCTCCTGGGAGAAGTTTGGCCGTCTGACACTGCTGCTCTCTTCTGCCATGGTGAATTGAGTAAACTCTCATTACGCCTTCGCACGGCGCATTTAAGGGCGAGGAGAGGGGCTCATTTGATTGGTGTGATGTGTGTAAAACCCACTCCACGCCTTCTCTCCTCCCTCTTTCCGACTTGTGCAGGTAGGAGGGACGGAGGTGGGAAAGAGGAGTAGCAGTGCCAGGCGCACGGTGTGCCAAACTTGCAAAATCAGCCTGGCCACACCCAGTTGGCGAAGCACAGGTGCGCTGCGCCCCCGCCTCGCCCGGTCTGCGAAACTAGAGCCCTTTGAATTTTCTTGTGCAACTGTGTCATGTTTTTTGGAAAGAGACATTGCTGTTGAGTTTAAAAAAAAAAAAAAAAAGGGTGATTTGAGCACCACAAGCTGAGTGCCATCTAGTTCCAGAGAAGGCAGACATCTCTACGGCCGATATCTCCAACACTCTGCAACTCACACCAAAACAATCTAGACTGATAAATAGCACTACAGGTATGAGGAAAAATATTTATTTTTAATTTTGGGGTGAACTGTCCCTTTAAGTAACATATACCTATCTATATGGGAAATCACCATAACATAAAGACATTTATTGTGAATGCAGACTGTGGACAATATACTATCTATAAATGTTGATCTGGTTTATCTTGTGTTGCTTAAAATGGCTACAAAGATTATGCAAAATGGAACCTGGGTGAAGCAGATGAGATTCAAATGTTTATATTTTCATATATTTAAAGGAGAAGTAGTTATCACACTTGATGATTAAAGAGTTTCGGAACAACTTTATCATAATTTTTTTGCGAATTACCTTTCATAACTGCAGAGATCAACAGTGTGTTCAGTTACGTTCCAGGTTTAAGCTCTAATATGAGAATAAATAACAAATGTTCTGTTACTTTTAAAAGCAACACAAAGTGGTGTGTAAGAGGCTATTACACACATCCATCTACTGTAAGTGATGCTGCCACACAGACTGACTTCAAAAGCTTTCATGGAACTCCAGACATTTCTGCATTACTTCAATTTCAACAAACTCTCCAACGACATTCAGAATGTCACAAGCAAAGCCACTGATGGAGTGGCAGTTTTTCAACCAGGGGTGCTGTAATAAAATCAAGTCTTTAAAGGGTGTTACTGTATTGTATGTGCTGACCGTACCGAAGTGTAGAGGTAGCCCTCGCTGTTCATGGCAACGTAGAGCCCTGTCTTGGTACTCTGGATGGCCACTATCCTGAGCCCCACAGGAATCAAGTTGAACTGCACTGCAAAAAAAGAAAAGCAGACAGGGAGGACCGGTGTTAGAACAATCATTCTCCCTCTTAAACGCTCACAGTGCTTCCTCATGGCATAAAAAGACAATTGCTTTCCAGCTGTCTCCTATTTCATCCTCCCTGTTGTACAGTATTTCTGTCAGAGGCGAGTGTGAAGTGTGTGAAAAAGAGAGAGGCAGAGGCAGGGAAGGATTAGGAGAGGGAGATTTAGGAGGAATAAAGTCTGGTTGCTGGTACATCGGAGGTCATACAAAGCTGGGAGTGACTGTACGGAGAATTCCCCCGCTGGAGAGAGAGAGATAGAGAGAGCATGGCTCAGCAGAGAGCTTTAAAAATACAGTACATTAGAAAGTGACATCGCCCGAGCCTGCTTTGAATTCATTTCCTCTGTCCCGACACAGTAAACAGCACTTTGTAATGCACTTTGTCCGATCCCCTTCATATGAAACCTTGGATTTCTTATGTGCATAGCTCTCCATATAAACTAACTTTGACTCAGCCCCTGGAGCAGCACACACACTGTGTGTCTGAGTGTGTTGTCGGCAGTGGCGTCGCCTGCATGTAATTTGTTTAGGTGCTTTTCTGTCCATGCAAGTACAAATACATGCCTGTTCTAGCTTGTGTGTGTGTTTAACCTTCTAAGACCTCTTGAGTGTGTGCCATCTATATGTGCCTTATAGGATGTGACATGGTGAGTTGAGTGATGCTGACAAAACGGCCTCTGGCTGCCAGCTGCTCCGTGGTCAGTGTCATCATGACCAAATGCTACCATGTCCCTGAAGTGTTAGGGTTAGATCTGGGATGAGAAACACAACCAATACACAAAGACAACTGAACACATAACAGCTATACTAATTACATTATTCAAAGCAATATTTCATCATGTTGGCAAACATGCTTATTTGCCAAGAATTAGTTGAAAAATCAATACCACTCTAAAACCACAGCTTATAACTCTTGATGCCAAGGGCGCCTACACACTGTATGACTTTAAAGGTCGTCAGATTGCTATGCTGATCACATTACATGGCTGTCTGTCTCACCATGGGGTATCTTGAAGTTGTTGTGGTTTGCACATTACAAAAGTGATAAGCAACGGGTTATAACACATTAGACATTTCACTGAGAGAAATCTGCAAAGTGTGTTTGGTCAATAAAACACATGCTAGAAGTGATATGGGAAAAGATGCAAGACCACATGCGAGACAGTAGTTCTTTCCTCCAAAATAGATGTTCACAAGAAAATGGTTATCCAAGTTGTTTGTGTGCTAATTTGCAGCGAAAAACCAAGGAAGACACATAACTCCTTCTCCTCCTCACCCAATATTTTCCACTCTTATTGGCTTTATGTTGTTGCTGCTGTCATTGCTGTTTATAACAAATTTCAGGCTACAGAATTTGGACTCGCAGACAGGTCCAGATATTTAACCTGATATATAAATCTTGGGCGTCTGCAACACAACAGCCCATGTTTCAGATCGCATCTTTGAAAATTCATTCATAGTGATTGTCACTCATGGATGCAATTTTCCTCTGATGTGGGACAATAAAATCATGTTGTGTAAACTCGATATAAGCTAGATGACATAGCAGCTCCAGCTCTGTAGCTTACAAAGGTAAAGAGTGGGTAAGGGTATTTCCCAAAATGTTCTATTACTTAAATTCCCATTAAGAAATGTTGAACTATTCCTTTAAAATAATTGATCAAGCTTGAAATTATTAATAATTCTTCAGATTTTAAACAGTAGTTTGATGTAAAAAAAAACCAAAAACCCCATCTCCTATCGGTCTGACAACGATTTAACTTTTTGAGACAAAGGTCAATATTTTGAGGGTTCTGGTGTAGCCGAATATTCGGGCCAAGACTTCCTCTTCCATATACTGGTCTAGTGTTGCACGGTATACCGGTACTAAAATAGTACCGCGGTACTAGAGTATTCCAAACGGTACTATACTGCATTTGGAAAATATCTGTACTTTGAAATTGATTCAATTTATTTATTTAGTTAATTTATTTTACTCAATTATGCACACAGACGCCTTTCTTGTTCCTATTGGAGCACAGATTGCACAAGTGGTGTGTATGACAACACCTGTATCAACATTCGCAGCTGGCGCATGTGAAAAAAGACAAGAGAAAGTCTGCCTCATAAAGGGAGACAACACGAGACAACACAAACTTGGTGGGACATTTGAGTTACCAAACCGTGACATCCGTACCGAGGTTTGTATCCAAAAGGACTTTTCCTTAGGAAAAGTACCGAAGAGTATCGAAAAGTATCCAAATTCATATTGGTATTGGTACCGAAACAAAGATTTTGGTATCGTGACAACACTATACTGGTCATTGTGTACAGTCTGATTAGCAACTTGACACAGGAGAATAGGGTTGGAGTTGAGAGGCGGTTAATCTTTACAAGCAAATATCTGCATGTGAATGCAGGTAAACCAACTTACTAATAAATCTTCGTCAGAAGAGAGCAGATAGGTCCTGAGATTTTATTTAAGCCAATACATTCCCCATCTTTTGCTCTCCATAGTAACTGTGTACCTGCATGCAACCGAAGCCCGCTCAAACATGATTGGTCAGCAGTACTTGGACTGAACACAGAACAGAACACAAACAAAATACTTCCAATACCAGAATCTTTTCTGGTTGCCTACAAATTCTGCATTCATTATAGAGATTACTTTTTTATTCAACCTTAATTTAACTAGGAGGTCCCTTGAGATAGGAGTGTCTTTTCCAAGGGAGACTCGGCTAAGGCAGAACACCAGTCACAGTTTAAATAGAAATAAAACACAGCAGACGGGAAAACGCAATCATAAAAAAACAAGACGGAGGCTAAATTCAGCTCACACAAAGCAGTTGCAGTTCAAAGTTACCTGGATGTATCTTAGGTGACTTAGATGTAATTTGCTGTGCAGATTATTTGAAGCCCAAAAAGTAAAGTAGGAAAAGGCTTTTTGCCCCAGCTCCGTGCAAACCCTTGAAGCCTGGTAGCAAAGCCACCTTGTGGAACTAAGCTGAAGACTGCTAGAGGTCTACGTCAGGAGATTACATATATAGATGAAGTTCACCCAGCATGGCCTTGTACACAAAAATGTACAAATGAAGTTGTCTATGGACTTGGTGATGGCCAGTCTACCAAATCATAACACCCACCATTATGAGTACAGAAACCGGAGCAGGTTATAAATATGCCGGTACCGCCAACATAATAAATTGACCATAAGGAGGCTATTTTTAAAGTCAATACCAGATAAACCTGTCTTGTCATCAGCATTTGTTTACATTCTGGTCAGAAATACCAAAACCAACATCTTTGAGATGCAGTTTGCAGCATATGACAAATTACAAAAATGCATTATAAAGTGACAGGGTGGTTGTCAAGATGACGGATCTGTTATATGGATGAAGAATTAAGTCTCTGGAGCATGTTTTAGATTCATGGAGCCATTAGCTGCCATTAAACAAATCAATTTCACATCAAAAGTTCTGCCAACGTAATGGATGGAAGTTAAGTTATCAGATGGAGATAGAAAGTCAATGCTTGCCATGATGAAAAAATAAATACATCAAACTAAAACCTTGTCAGAGCTACTGAGTTTTGAAGTGAATTATTTAAACTGCAAGAAAATGTTGTTTTTATTGTCAGTAATAAAACCAAAAGAACATCATTCATCCTCTTTTCAAGGAACATTCTGTTAGACAAGTTCTTCCACATAGGATTTAAACTTGCAAAGTTTGATTCTATTTAGGCTAAACAGGAAGAAAGTTGTATGTATTTCCTGTCAATATGAACATAGTCATATTTCACAGCTATCTCACGGTCCACCACTCCAGTATGAATGACACCAAACACAGTACAGATAGTGGTGTGTGACCACTTTGAATGTGCAGATGTAGGTAATGAAAACTGCCCATACTTCTTTCTCCCTTCCTCTCTCTCCATCTTCAGGGCCCTTACTTCTATTTGCTCGATCGATCCCTGCATCTCAAACAGTTGCTTTCGCAAATGAACAAGGTGTCACCAAAGACCGCGGCCGGGATGACAAATAGAGCAGGGCGCGCACACATTGCCTCCCTCCTTCTTGCCCTTCTCTCTTGTTTCCCCACTCTTACATACACCGGCAGCCTTGCTGTGGCGTTGATGTCCCAACATAACCTGCTGCACGCCGAGACACACGCCGGGTTCTTGTTTAAATACTGGTGAGCTGGAGTGGAAACATTAAAAAGTCAGCTGGAGAAAATGCTTTCAAGCAAGCCATGTTAGCTTAATTAGCTAGTTAGCTACAGATTTTCCGACTCACCCCTGTTATTGCAGACTATATGCTGTGCAAGAATGGCAAGCGTGGCAGGCGTAGCAACAGTAACAGGGCTTAGCGAATGGTCAATTACTTCCTACTTCCCACTCTCTCTCCATTGTCATTTGTTTCCTTCATCTCTCTCTCACTGCATCAATCTCTCTTTATTTTCCCTCCCACGAAAGAGTTTGCTTCTTTTCTGATCCTCAATCAAAAAGAGCTTTTCTTATCAAATGGATCACATAACTTTCTGGCTGGGTAATAGAGGTGTCCCATCTCTCTCTTGTTTTCCCTTTCCCCTCATCCTTCTCCCTCTCTGTCCTTCGTTTTTTTTTTCTTTCTTCTGCAACCCACAGAGGAGGTCGCTGGATTAATCAAAAGTATTTTGAGGGGAGAGACAGAGGGAGGGGAAAAAGGAGAAGAGGGGAGGAAATGAAAAGGAGGGAGGAGGGCGTTGCCAAATCAATCCCACAAGTCAATTTGAGGCTTGAGATCATCTGCACAATAAATAAACAAGGAGAAAGTGGAGATGGGGTGAGAGAGAGGAGGAGGAGGGGGGAGAAGCAGTTGCAGGACACGGAGTTAAGCTGTGCAGAGGGCATCTGCAGGCCTGCACACTGGGCTGCTGCTCTGCAGGGTTGCATTGTGTAGCCCAGTTGGTCTCCACTGGAAAGAGAAGAGGA